TGTAAATATAATTATGCTTGAGCACTATTACGATCACTTGCTAATCACATTGAGATTGACGCTTGAGAGCGACCTTAGTCAAATTAGTTAATAATATAGCTTAAATAACTTGTCAGGTCATCTGGTTTATTATTATATTGCTACCATCGGTTTGGAGAGCAATTGCAGATGTTAATCCACGATGGTACACGTGGTATGATGTATTAAACACATAAACTGGGTCGGGTTATCACTTAACAGGTCAAACTTAATTATTGGGAAGGGTTTATTATATACAATAAGAAATGTTGACAACAAAAATAAAGAAATAAAACAACAATAAAAAGAATAAACTAAACTAATAAACTAATACATAAACTAAAAATACTAAGGGGAAGGGGAATCCGATTCTTAATATAAACTATAACTAAGACATTGTAAGTTCTTTTGAGACGAAGTTTGAGGAAAACTTTACTAAGGCGAAACTCATGCCTTAAAATACCTTTTAGTTACTAAGAGCTATTGCACTATCTTTAATCTTAGGCTTATCTTCTTAACAATCAACCTTCGGAATGTTCACAACCCGCATTAGATAGCCACAAAATATTGCCCACAATCATTGTTTCCAAATATCTCACAATGGTTGTGCCAAATATTTACTACAATGCTTACTCTCTATCTAATGTTTATCGTATGATAGGAGTAATTAATTACCAGGATTGATCTACATCTCTAAGCCTTCATCTGCTGGATTGATCTGTAACTCTAAGTCTTCATCCGTCATCTAAGAGTCTCACAACATTCTTGTGGCTTCGGGTCTCTTGGCTTTTAGTACCACCAAATCACAGGGTTTAAACTTTAAACTGTGGCAATGTAACTAATATATTCTAAAAATTCTTGATCTATTCACTTAGTGTGTCAGATTTTGACCGCCTCTCCTATATGACCAAACACTGACCAACTTATATGTATAACATAGAAACGCTTGCATTTAAATGCATAATGTAAAAAAATGCTTTGTCCAATAACTTGAGATGCGTAAGGTTATTTTGTTTTTTAAGATTTCTTGTAATAATAAGCAATGATGCTTATGATATTTTATTTTCATCATTTTTTTTTTCATGTTCTGTAATTTGTAAATTTGAAAATTAAATATCAAAGTATTACGGTATAGTTTTTTTAAAAAAAAAAACTGTTATGCGAGATTACAAAAATTATATCTAATTCTAGCATAGACGTCTTCGCATAGTACGAATGCCATTAATAACATTTCACTATGCATGTTAATAAATGACTGAAATAACTCAAATGACAAATGACCAATCATTAAGTCATTTCAAGACCTAAATGACTTTAGGTTATTAAACCTATGTTTTAGTTATAATACCTTTAACCAATCAGAGTTGATCATCGATGATTTGTTATAACTAAAAAGTCGATTACTAGTCTAAATTTTTATTTTTTGGTTTGAATTTTTTTTTAAGCTACACCTATTCTGATTTAATTAGCTATTTGATGCTAATAATCACGTGAAGCGAAAATCGTACAATGTACAAAGTTATTAGTTAGATTTTTAATTTTACTTTTTATAAGTAGTGATAAGGGCCGATGAAAAATCATTGGCAGGGTCAATCCTAAAAAAGCTCGGGTCGGTCGACCGGGCCGCTGTTACGATCGTTGGGAGGGTCTTGAACCAATTTAGCTTCGATCGTGAACAAACAGTGATTAAGGTTAAAGGGCTTAAATCGATAAACTAACACACATAATTGCAGGTTGTAAGGTTTCTCTTTATTAACATAAATTAATACATCAGAAAATTACAGTAATACTAAATACTATTAACGATCGTTCTAACAATCACTCTTTCCTTCGCGGACTGAAACTACACCCTTATATATCTTTAATTCGTATGGTGGGTTTAATCCCTCGCTTGGGGTTTCAATCACCCATCTATGCCACAAACTATACCAAAATAAGAAATTAATAAAGTAACGATAATGATAAAATAATATGACTAAAAAAAATTGAGCAGGCACCGCCCTTTCTAATCAGAATTAGTCACCATATCTTTATGAAACTTGTAAAAAGATATCGTATAGGTCCTTGCCAAATTTTAATGATATTAAATTATTAGATTTTATTCTTTTTGTCTTTAAAATTTTTATCACCCAAATAATTCCATATTTATGTTGGTTGTTTACCAATTTATTATTTGAATTTGCCAATTAATGAATATTTACATTCAACATCTTCGCCTTAAAAAAGAATCGATTCTATCAATCTTTTATCGACGACACGGCTCACAAATGAGCTGAGAGCCCGACCCGGCCGTTGAGCTAGGGCCAGTCTGTATCACTAGTTATAAGACTCAAAGTTTATTTAAAATTGAACCATTTTTGACTCTTTTGAATTTTTTAAATTACTATAACTTTTTTTACAAGATATTTTTTTAATAACTAACCAGTATTTTATAGAATATTAGTTCTATAAACTTACGATTATTTTTGTGGCATCAGAAAAAAATTTTTAGTGCTGTTCTGCGCAGATTTGCAAAAAAATTAAATAATATATTAAATGAAAATCTGTGCAAAACTTCAGACTCACCAGCTATAGCTAAAGAAATTAAATACATTTCTGCGCAAAATTTCAAAATATAAGAAATTTTGCAGTTTTTCTGCAAAAAATTCTGCAAAAATCTGCATTTTTGCAGGTTTTTGCAGATTTGCACTTATTTAATTCTCCCGATGGGAGAATCTTTTGCATAAAAAAGTTGACACATTTTAAGGATTACTATTATTATATATCTTAATTTTAACAAACTTTAAATATTTTATTAAAACAAATTTTTAGTTATATAAAGTAGTTAAGTGGATTTTTTAAAATTTTGTCTTTTTAAAAGTTTGATATATTTTATAGATATACGAACTATTTCTATTAAACTGTAATTTGATGCTATCATACTTAAAATCGAACATAAACCATAATCACTTGACATAGTGAACAGTTTATTGTGTGCAAGTTTAAGTATTTTTGAAATTAATACAACATGATTGAATAAAATTTGAGCGAATTTCTAGGATTAGATTAGATAAACACACAAAAATAATTATACAATATATGATGTAACCATAACAATTAATGCAAGTATAAAGGACAAAAATGCTCTACAAAATTAGTATTCTTCAATGCAAAACTAGGAAAGTGTTTGTTTTATCGAGGTCTTTACAGAAGCTGCTAGTATTTATCTAATGTTGAAAATCCAAATCTAGTGACGCTAAAAAGTTCAGAATCAACTTTATATTAATTAAATTTCCTAAATTTAGTAAGATTTTTAATATACAATACAAATATTACAAGATACATTTTATGAAGTCATAATCAAATTACAAATTTTTGATAAAAAATCTTTGTAAAAAGTACAGCTCAGAACTTTGAGGTTTGCAAATGATATGTTTAGTTTAGAGGAGAGAGCTTGCAGACACATTAGAAGAGCAATACTTTGACCTATATATATATATTAAAATAATCATAAAGAAGAAAAGCACTAGCAATGACACTTTGGAGAACGCTATTTATATTGTTGAATGGTCAACTTAACTCTGAATTTGGAAAAGTGTAGCAAATGCTATTCGTAAGAACAATCAGACCTATTTGAATATTTAAAAATCAACTTGGTTCGAGAATATAAATGATACCATGTCATTCCCTATATTACAATAAAATACCACATTGGAGATTACAAATCAATTAAATAAAATGGTTTATTAATCATTAATGTGACAAATATGTTGACTATACTAGATTTGATCCGAAAAGAAATTTATATTATTTAATTAAAAGTAATTACGTTCAATTTGTTAAAAGGTTTTAGGAAACTTCCGATTTATGCATTAAAAGTAAATTTTTATATTCTAATTGCACTAAAAATACTAAAGATTTTATGAACATTTATAACAATTTTTTTGATAAATACAAAACTTTACAAAATATTGGGCATTTAGGTCCATGATTAAATAGGACATCTTAATCACATATCTGTCGGCAAGCAAGCATACAATGGTACGGTGTTGCAGTGACACACGCAGGACATTCCATTCGACAACCTAGAAAAAATCAAATAATATCAGAATGTGTCATATATTAAGAATTCATACGTATCTGTCAAGCTTATTTAAGAAACTTAAATTACTTTGAGTAGTAGCTGACGCAGCAGTAGTTGGATTTGACTCAGGCTCAACTGGTGGAGGCACAATAACGGTAGGAGTTGATTTAGTTGGTTTATGTGGTTTATATGGTTTATTTGGTCTAATTGGTCTTGGCTTCTTCTTGGACTTGCATTTCTTGCGAGCATTGGTTTGGGCAATTAACACCAAAGCCATGACCAAAAATACGAGAAAAATACGCACTCTAAATTTCTATATATGTATTTAAAAAAAAAATCAAAAAGAATCAATTTTTAAATTGAAAAGCTTTGTTCGAAAATTGAATATTTACCATTATGTGAATATATTCTTTGAAAAAGTAATATTTTATGCTATATTATTTTAGAAAACTATACACTGTTTTTTTTTTTAAAGGAAGCTAAAATACTGAATTTTTATACTTTTTACAAATTTACGAATAACCATCATGTCCCTTCTAATTGGTTCTTGTAATAGCCTTGAGGTTATTAGTTAATAACAAACAATTATGAATATTGTTATGCTCTGTGCTCTAAATCCAAATTTCGAAGTAATATTCAATTAGCCGCACCACCTTTATTACTATCTAAAAAAGTTAATATCAAGCATTATAGAATAACATTAATTATATACTAATTGGTCACTACATTATTGTATAACGTTAAATTGCTGTGAATATCTGATCGAATGCATTTAATTCAGAGGTTGCGTTATTTTTTAATTGTTGTATTATTTAAGCAAATAAACAAAATTTCTTAAATTTCTAAATTCTGTAATTCCAAAATTAACAACAATTGTACAAGCAATATTAAATTAATCGGGTTAACCATATTTGATGACACTCAATAGGCACGTGATGACCCAATGCAGACCACACTTTAATAACGTGCATATAGAATAATAAGAAAAAAATTCATTTATAGAGGTCTAGTACATATTTGGGCCAGCACTTGAGTGTGCATTAAGAGAGGTTGTGCACTTATAAAGGGTGCACATAGAGAGGCCTACCTTCACTAACTTTTACATGAAAACATAAATAATAATTAGCTTAACTTTTTACTATGCAAGTATCCGCATCAATTTTAACCATATGCAGAAGATTTTTTGTATTACAAGTAGAGCGTTATAAGTGGAATAAAAATTCGGTAATATTCGTATATTTATAAAATAATATGATAGGAGTAATCTTTTCTCACTTCATCAGCAGATAATCGCCAGTTGAAATAACGAAAATTGCTATTTGATTTAAATAATCATTTAATATTTTTGTTATTTAAATTAATTTCTTTACTATTATATCATACCTAATTTCAGCGTTAAATCCATTCCAAAAGGGAGACTTTCCAATATACATAGGTCCGTCATTGAAAATAACGTTTTGCTTTCTAACGTCTTGGATGCTAAAGTATCCAGACCATTCACCATTTATGTAAATATCTAACCTTTTTTTAGGATCAGAAAGTGTATAAGTTATATGGTACCATTGTTGTAATAAAAGTCCATTAAGTTCTCCAATCCCAACATTTTCATTCCAGTTTCCCGTGAATCGAGCGTGCAATGCAGATTTGTGAGGTGTAAACCAGAGTCCTGGAGTACGGATTAAATTTTCGGTACCTAAGCGTATGTTTATTTCATTTATAAAACCGTAAGATCATCAGTCTAATAGTACAGTAATTAAACAAAATATAGATGATTTTACCTTTATGAAAAATAGAGGCCCAGTCGGATGAATGTTTTTTAAGGCTTATTCTTAATGTTATTGACAATTCATTTTTTACTACGGGGAGGTCAACATGTTGAGCAACTTTTTGTTCTTGATCTCCAAAACTAACAGGGTCTGAGATAATTTCTGTCCATTCTCTAACTATAAAATTTTTCATTTTCTTAGAAAAAAAATTTTATTCAAATAATATAAACTGACGTAAGGAATATTAATTACCTTCGAGAAACTTATGAAATATTATGAACTCTGAACTCTTAGAAATACGAATGCAATTACTTATTGATTAAAGTTATTGTTACGCAGGCACATCCAACTAGAATGGTGTGTAATAAAATCTTGAATTTGATTGCTTAGCATAAGCATTTTGATCATATTTGGAAGTTATTAACACATGAAGGTACGTACGTACATGTATTAGTAAAACTAAAAAATTTGATTTGCACATATAAAATATATAATTACAGTCACACGATTTGTCACATCCAAAATTTTATCATATGATTTACATAAATTACACAAATCGACGAATTTACATTTT